GGGGTGCTTTTTGTTTTTATGAATATCTCAAAAACAAAAAATCTGAAGAAACCCACTTTTTCCTAGAACAGCCCCCATATATATATTTTCAATGGGTAAAAGTGAATAATTTAGTCATAATCAGAGAGCATAAATAATATTAATTGATATTTTATTATCAATGTTTTTGGATTAAATGAGATATCGATGATATCAATGAATTTGCAGGTAAAGGAAAAAAATTATTGATTTGTATATAATATTAGAATCATTTATCAGGTTACTGATTTTTATATGTGCATATTATAATTTAATGGGTAAAAGGAATAACTTGGTCAGTTATAAATTATAAACCCATTAAATATAATCAATATACACAAATAAATGTGTAAAAGAATAACTTGGTCAATTATAATTATAAACACATTTATTAATTATATTTAATGGTAAAAGAATAACTTGATCGGTTATAATTATAATAAAAAAAAATACATAATATTAATTGATTATCTTTTCATTTTATTAAATAACTATTACAGAAAAAATTAATTTGTGTACATATATATATTAAAATTATCTATCAGGATAACAAAATGGCATCTTATATTGCTTAGTCCTATAATTTGGAAGTTATATGATCAGTCAATAAAGCTCTCGCCATGATTTTCTTGTTTTTCTCTATTTATTCAACGAAAGGATCCGCACAATTAGCCAATCTAAAAAAAAATCCAGAACGTTTATCATTTATCCCATAAACCGCCAAAAGTCTTATTTATTAATAATATCGTCACAAATTTGTGACTTATACGGTTTAAGTGATAAATTAGAAAATACCAAATTTTGCATATTCTCCGCATACAAAATATGATGAGTGCAGATCGTATTAATGCAACACGGTTTATATCGTGTCTTTAATTAAAACCATTTTTTTATTTATAACACGTCCTTAATTAATTAATTCGTCAAACAGCTGTCTTCTTTGTTGTGATGTCATACCTCTTTATCCATAACCTATTTATTAAATAATTTAATTTTAGTATTTATGCATCCAAACCTATTTTTATTTCTCTTTTAAATAATCCGATGATATGTAATTAATTATCTTTTGAATCGAAAATTAAAAAAATAAACAATGAAATGTTAATTCAAACATTTCAAGAAATTTATTTTCTCTAAAAAATATATTTATTATATTTATTATTATATATATTTAGATAATTAAAAAAAAAGACAAACATTTTAAACAATTAATTAAAAAACCACTCTTTTCAATGCATAAAATTATTTACAATAAAGTCAAAAGAAAGATTGAAAAGTCAAAATCATCTTCATCGCCTTCACCTTTTTCGAAGACGAATAAAACTATTAAAACATTTTTTGCCAACATAAATTTAAAAAATCATTCAAAAACAAAAAATTGTTCAAAAAAAATTAGAACTATCAACAACAATAAAAATGTCGACGATTTATTAAAAGAAGAACAAGCAACAAAAAAACGACAACTAAAAATAATAGACTATGCTAAAGTAATTTTAAACGATCATGCTAATTCAGTTTGGCCAAATTTTTATGAGACACCCGAAGAGCCAGCAAAGAGAACATTGGATGATATTAATGATACTGAATGGATTGGATACGGGAAGTTATCGATGTCATCATATGATACTGCTTGGATGGCGATGATCCCTTCTGAAAAGTATAAATCTACCAATTTACCAAAAGATTTCGAATTGGCTTTCCCACAATGCTTAAAATGGTTTTTTTATCATCAAGACGATAATGGTAGTTGGGCTGGTAAAGACGTAAAAGGTGTTTTACCTTGTCTTGCTGATCTACTTGTCCTTGGTCTTTTCCGTTCCCGTTCTGGTGATTATCTAGAAGAAAAATTAAATGATTTAGGGTTGACTTTGTCTCAATTCAACTCAAGTTTCGAAAAGTCTGTAGATTTTCTTAAAATCACGTAGGTATACATTCTATATTTAGTCATCCTCATGTGTTTATTCTTTATTTACTAATTAATTAATTAATTCATTCATTTCCTTAATAATTAGTCTAAATCAATGGAATATTGATGAAATAGACTATGTTGGTTTTGAGTTGATAGTTCCATATATGCTTAATGAATTAGAAAATCTTAAACCAAGTGTGGTATTTCAATTCCCTGATGAGCAAAGATTAATTAAAGAACATGCCAGAAAAATGAATCTGATACCTATTGAAGCATTATTTGCGTTAGCAGCAAAACGTCAACCAGTAGCAATGATTCATTTGATTGAAGCCTTTGGCAACAAAATAGATTTTACCAAAATTCAAAATGAAGATTTCCAAGCAATAAATGGCAGTTATGGATCTTCAGCTGCTGCAACTGCTTCCGTGCTTATTAATTCACCAAATTGGGATTCAAAAGCCTATAAATTTTTACAAAAAATTATTGCTAAAGCACCAGCGGATGGCACAAGCCTTGGATATGTTCCAACTATCAGTGATGTTGGTATATTTGAATCGGCTTGGATAATGCAATCTATGGTCGAATTTGTTTCAAGGTTACGAAATTTTACAACAACAACAACAACAACAACAATGACAACATTAACAACAACACGTCAGATAATAAATCGATCCAAAGTTTACTTGAAAAAATTAAAATAACTGCCGAATTTATAAGTCATGTTGTCAGTTTACAAAAGGGTGCTGTAAGATGGACATCATGGGATAACAGAATTCCAGCAGATGTTGATACCACCGTGACATGTCATTGGATAATAGACCAAATACTTCCTGAAATTGAATGCTACTTAAAAAAATTAGGCGCCACATTTTACAATGGACGGAATTTTGTGACGTATCCTGGCGAAAGAACAGTTTCCATAAGTTCAAATGTACATGCGTTAAGGTTGCTGCTTGCAAAATATTCAAAAGACAAATACAGAAACAATGAAGACAATTATATCATTACAATGCAAACAAAAACTGAAGCTGGCAAAAAAATAACAATTCAACAAGTCATATCTACTATTATAGAATTAATTATGGCCAATAGAAGTGAAATGGCTACTTGGTCAGATAAATGGAATGCAAGTCCATCATACATAACACACACAACCAACAACCTGTTACTATCATTATTATCATATCCTGAAATTGTAGAAAATTCTACATTAAAGAATCAAGATAACTTGCTTGAATATTGCTTGAAAACGGTTAATTGGTGTCTACAAACTCAACATAGTGATGGCAGTTGGGGATCTGTTTCGGAAATTGGTATGGGAACATTGAAAGAAACAAGTTATTGTATTAGATTATTGAATTATTCCAGTAAATTTTATCCTGGCAATTTGGAAATACCCAAAGCATTGAAGAAGGCTAGAAAATTTGTTTACAAATATTTAGATGAAGCCATGAATGATGATGAATTTTTCTATCAAAAACAACCATTATTATGGATCGGAAAACAACTTTTTTCATTACCCAATATAATAAGATCTTCTGTGTTAGTTTCATTATGGGAGGATTAATAATTAAAAGCCTTTCCTTTTTTTTCATTTTGTAATTCTTGGTTTTAGCTTTTTCTTTTCCACACCTCCTTCATACTGAGTGACTGATAAAGTCGTAAATAAAAACAGACCTTTTTATTATTAAGTAACTGATAAACTCGCAAATAAAAATGGGCATTTTTTTTCTTATAAAACGTTTTATTTGTTAAATATAGCTTGATTAAAACATACTAATACACTAATGTGGAAAACACACGGAATTATTTTAATATTAATATTAATATATAATTAATTAACTAGTCGCATGACATGTTGTAAAATAATAAAATTGGGTGATCATAATTTTTTGACGCGTCCAAATGTAAGTATAATGCAAATAATTATATTGTTATGAATATTTATAATATTTATACAGTTTAAAATTTCTTTTACGTTATAAAATAATTAGATAATATGAGCAAGCAACAATAATATAACAATTGTCAAAAAAGGAGAAGAGAAATGTAAAAGATATTTAATATTATTATTATTAAAATGCGTCAATGAATTGTGATTTAAAATCAATATTAAATAACATTACTAAATATCAACTAGTTTGGTTGCCAAAACTATTTTGAAAAGGCGAAAGTCAAAACTAAAATTAAAAGTTATATGTCAAAACTAAATCAAAAGTCAATAGTTAAAAATCAAACTAGTTTTGACATTCGCACGAAACTCTCTAATTTTGGAAACAAACACTAATATCAACTATAAATAAGTTTTGAATATTATGTGCAATAGAATTCAGGCTTACTTTTGAATCTAAAGATCACTCAATTCGATCAAGTACTTACCAAGATACAAAAATATATGGTAATGGGTAAAGAGCGTTTTTTTTCGGATTTTAAATACTTATATGGCATTTTCAAATAATCAAACTCGTTATCATACAACTAGAGAAAGCATTCATAGAGGTTGGACTCGACTAAACTTTTTTTTGAACAACTAATAGTCGACTATTAATACTACTAATACTAATACTAATACTAATACTAATACTATGTAAATATTATTGTCTGGCCAATTACGATTTTTGTGTTTTATCATTCAAAATGGAAATCTTCTATACGGAAGAGTATCAATACCATCAATATGATGATGATGTCGACAATAGTAGTATGTTGTTGATGATAATTTTACATGTAAATGAATATACAAGGTCCAATAGTTCATTGGCTTCAAGTTCCAATGATTTAAGCGGTGATTCCAGAAGACATTTAAAAAAATGAATCGCAACACAAGTTTTGTGTGGAAAAAATGAAGGATTCAAATGGAAATGAATTCGTAATTTGCAAATTAAAAAAAAAAAAAACGAAATATTATATTAGTTATAAAAAAAAATTTAGTCGACTAAAATAATCGAAGTAATCGACTAAACTAAAATAATCAACTAGTAGTCGACTAAGGATTTTTTGGACGATTCCAACCTCTAAGCATTCATCAATTATATTTTACAAAACTTGCTTTCCAAGCTTTGTAGATCTCATCTGGTGTTGATTAATTAGTTTTAAAGAGATTCATAAAAAAAAAAATAATAGTTTTATGGACCTAAGTAATGGTAACATGTTTTTTTAAATATTACTTTTGTACCTATTTTTATATTAATATTTTATATGTGTATTTAGGAATGTAATAATTAAATTAAAAGGTGTTTCTTTTTCCAAAGGTTAAGGGTTGAACGAAATCAGAAAGAATTGTTATGTGACCATATTTTATTTATTAATTATGATATTCTTGTAAGATCTGGCGGTGTACGATCAGAAGAATTGTTACGCGGCCATATTTTATTATTTTAGAAAATAGGCAGAAAATTCAACGTCAAAATTTCTAGTTGATATATTCTTGTAATAACAATTATACTATTAATTATTAATCACTTTTTTTAGATCTGGTGGTGTACGATCAGAAAGAATTGTTATCACATATAATAATAATATAATAATAACAACTAAATTGATTGTATAATGTTATTACAAGAATATATCAACTATGCTGAATTTTCTAAAAATAAATAATCAATAATAGATAAAATATGATCACACTAATATTATTCTTTTCATTATTTTAGAAGGGGAACATGCAAACCAGCCTAGTTACTAATTAAGATCAGATACCTCGAAAAATTTTAAAGAAAAAACAGGAAGTGATTGTAAGAAACTTTTCTGATATAATATTCGGATTAAGTTTCAACCAGATTATTTTTATCTTATGATAAGCTGTGTTTTGCAAAATAAATTCTACAAGAGTCCTCCATCTGACTACAACCAATAGTGTCTTTCTCATTTTTCTATACTATTATTATGGGTCATGATAAAACAAAATAAGATTTGAAAAAGTTCAATATCAATGTTATATAGTTTTTCAAAATACATAATAAAATTTATTAATTAAAAGTTATATCAACAATTTCAGAGCCTTTAAATAATAAAAAGAATAAAAAAGTAAGATTTATAAAAGGTCTTAATTTAATATTTATTATTATTTTATTTGATTTCTCTGCCAGCCAACTTCTCTCTTTTGGCCATCATTGCTTGAGATTTAATACCCATAATACCACCACCCCATTGTTTTCTATTTTCTTCGAATTTATCATTGTAGTTAAGTTTGATTGAACTAACCAAACTGTTAAGGGATGTCTTATCTTCTTCACGGATATCCACAATAGCTAATGCTGTAGCAGTTTTTTTATGAACAACGGTTCCCAAACGAGCCTTACTCTTAACAATTACGTAAGGAACTTCCATTTTACGACAAAGAGCTGGTAACCAAAGAACAATCTCAATAGGATCAACATCATGAGCAATTATCACCAATTTAGGTTTTTTGTTTTCAATCAAAGCAGTAATATGATTGATACCATATTTAACAACATATGGTTTTTTAACTCCAAGCTCTTTCTTTGTAGGTTTAGCATTAGGATCTTGTTCTTTCTTTGCAGCTTTAGCAGCACCCAATTCAGCAAGACGTGTTTTCTTTTGAATTTTAGTTTCAGGACGATACTTGTTTAACAATTTAAAAAGATTGATGGCGGTATTTTTATCCAAAGTTTTGGTGAATTGATTGATAGCTGGTGGAACCTTAAGACGTTGTTTAAGAATTTTACGTTGTCTTTGTAGGCGAATATATTCAGGCCATTTAACAAAACGAGTTAAATCACGTTTAGGTTGAATGTCTTGACCTGTGTGATATAATTAAATTAAATTAAATAAAGGCATTTAATAATTATTTAATTAAATAAAAAATCAAACAAACAATTAATTAATAAATAAAAAAAAAGCAAAAAAAGACAGACCTATTCCAAAATTACGAGGTCTTTTTTCGAATAAAGGATTCTTTGCTACTTTTCCCGAATCTTTTTTCTTTGCAGGATAAGGAGCGGGTGCCACCTTTTTAGAACCTTTGGCCTTTCCCTGTTTTATAAATAGGTCATTGAGCAGAACATTTAATTTTTTGTGAGTCTAAATGTTTGCTCTAATATACAAGTTTTTTCAAAAGAAAAACAAGTACGTATAAATAGTCATCAATAATTCCTCGGAATTATTGAGCTTTATTATCTAAAATCCTATAAATTTTGAGCTATACCATGATGAATTAATTAAAATCCTTTGTATTTTTACAGATGGATGAATTACTCTTGGAGTATATAGTAAAAAAAAATTTTTTTAGGATGAATGATGATTAAAAAAAATTTTATGTTACACGCTGCCGGTGTGGTGTTTAGATCGGTGATATAATAGAAAAAATCAAATTATAAGTTAAATTCTCAGAGCACTTGCATGGAAGGAAAATACTCAGACCCAAAACTATTGTGAGTATTACCTTATTTCTGACAAAAATCTAACTTTCACTATTATCAAATAATATTGCTACTAATAATATTGTATCTTCTTTGTTTTCATCATCTTTGTCATCTTCAGTCCTATCTCTTTCCTCTTTGCTTTGTCAATCCATTGCTGGACTGCTACTATAATTTTCTTTTCCAAGATTTGTTTTTCATTTATAGAAGTTTTTTATTGTGGAAGCAGTAACTTCTTTTCTCACTAAAGGAAAAATCAGAATCCAATCCAGTCTTTTTATCAAATAATTGCTTAAAAATCACTCCATAGATTTTCAATTTCTTGGAAATATTTTTTTTATCACCAGTAAGTTTGTTTTATTTATGAATTGGTGTTTCCTTGGTTCTATTTTATTGATTTTTTGATCTATAATATAGAGTTGATTTTTGTAAGTTTTATAGTGAAGTAAGAAACCAATTAATATTCCACAAGTTCACTATTAAAAGTAACCATTTTTTTATAATGTTGTTACATTGTAATCAATTTAAACTTGGATCCACTATGGTATGTATGAAAATGTTTTATAGCTCATATAATGCCGAGATATTCTAATTCTTATTCTGTTGTTTCATAGTTCTTCTCTGCCTGTCTTAATTGTCTACTAGCATATGCAATCACTCTTTCATTTCCTTTACTATCTAGTTGTGAAAGAATTGCTCCTAAAGCAAAATGCTGATGCATCCGTAGATAAGATGAATGGTTGCTTCCAGTTTGGATATACTAATATAGGCTCAATGGTGAGTTGTTCTATCAAGTCTTCAAAAGCTTCTTGTTGTCTATTCGTCCAATTAAATTCTTCGCCTTTTTTTAATAATTCCATTAAAGGTGAAGATCTCTTTGAAATCCTTTTACAAATTTATATAGTAGTTACAGAGTCCTAAGAAACTTCTAACTTGAATGATGTTAATAGATTTAGGAAAGTTCTGCACCTTCTCTATCTTCGCTGGATCCATCTTGATCCATCCTTTCCAACTATATGCCCCAAGAATTTCAACTCCGTGTTTCCAAATTGACATTTCCGTGGGCTGAGTTTAATCCTGCTTTTTGGATACGTTCGAAAACGTTTTCTAAATGTTCCAGATGTTCTTCCCATGTCTTCGAGTAGATGTTGACGTCATCATGGTATACTACTACTGACTTCCATAGCATGTCCCAGAGGACTTTATCCATCAATCTCTGAAAAGTTCCAGGAGCATTTGTTAATCCGAAAGGCATCACTGTAAATTCAAAGGTCCATGGTGTGTGATAAAAGCAGTCTTTTGGATATCTTCTGGCTTCATCTCAACTTGCCAGTATCCACTTGCTAAATCTAAAGACGAAAACCATTGTGATCCTTGTAGTGTTTTTAACATGTCATCAATTCTTGGTAAAGGGTAAGAACCTTTCTTGGTTTTCTTATTTAAATTTCTATAGTCAACACAAAACCATAAGTCTCCTCCTTTCCTTTCTACAACTACAACTCCCGAGACATACTCACTATTTGATTCACGAATGAATCCCGCGTCTAACATTCTTTGTATTTCTTCCTGGATAAACTTACTTCTATCAGGAGATACTCTTCTTGGTTGATGTCTAATTGGTCTCGAGTCGGTTAGATCTATACTATGATAAGTCATGCTGGTTCTCCCGATGTTGGACTTCTCCCAAGCAAATATATCATGGTATTTATACAACAAATCGGAGAGTTGTTGAGTTTGTTCTTCGTCGAGTTCATCCCCAACATCAATTGCAAATTGGTCTATTTCTTTTTCATCTTCGGTTTCGTCATTTAGATTGTAGGCTTGTATCTTTTCTTCCCAGTTGCATCTACATCTTTGATGGAAACCTTTGCATATTTGTTTGTATCATATGCGTCGGAAATGATTATGATGGTCTTCTTCTCCACATTCACATGGGTAGTGTCTTCCTTGAAATATGTGCCATTCCTCCTTCATAGTCGTAAGTGGTCTTTCAACTTTTTCCATTGTGAAATTGTATGCTTCTATGATTCTGGGTATGTGTCATCATTATAATTGGTGTCTTCTTCTTTAGTTTCTTCTTCGTTTTCTTCTTCTTCATCTCTTACTATTGGGGGTATTTTTCTGAAGTATTGTTCCGACATGAATACTTCTAATTCACCATCTATATCTGAACTTTCATATTCTGACGAATCAGATTCTTCTTTTATTGTTTTATTTAAACAGTCTTCTTCCCAATGTCCTTTCCTTTTACAGCGGTTGCAAGATGGTTTTTTTTTGGAAAATGAATTCAATCTCTTCTTCAATTAATCCTTGGACTACAGTTTCTCTTAATGTGCCCTTGAATCCCGCAGGAATAACGCTTTTTGTTTAAATGAGGATTTTTAAATGACTTTTTTGCCTCTTGATAGTGTAACTTGAATAGTTGGTTTGGATTTTCAGTGAAATAGTTATAAACCAAATTGATAATTCGAGAATCTTTTATAGTTCCTTGAAGAACTTGTTGATAGACACGTTCAAAAATTCCTGATTTAATTAATTCAATATTGTATTCTCTTAATTGCGTTTATGGTTTCTTGGTTAAGAATAAAAAGATTTGTTTAACCTCGTAAGGTAATAAAATAAAAATAAAAACGAGATATAATAATTAACCTCAAAAGGTAATAAGAATGAAAAATAAATTGAAAATGTAAAAAAAAAATAAAGAATTAAATAAAATTGTGCAATTAAAAAGAATTCCGCAGAATTTTGATTATAGTTTATCTTCCTTGGTGTAAATTTCCACACAACCCACACCAAGTTGTCACCGATGAAATTTGGGAGAACGTGTTTTAATGGGTGATAACAATTATTTTTGTTTATGTGTGGATCAGAATGAATAGGTTATCAACGAATTGATTTTGTTATTAGCGAATAATTTTGTTCAAAGAAGATAAAAGTTTTAAATAAAATAATAATAAATAAATAACTAGTTAATTAGTAAAAACGTCTTTTTTATATCTTGCACGAAAACCAGTCTCATAAATTTGTCGATCAAAATTTAATTAATCTTAGTATTAGTAATAATAATTTCATCGTGATGTTTTTCCAAATTAGGCCCTTTTTTTTTTAACTATATAAGAAAATTGTTTATACAAATACAAAAATAATAATAACCTTTTTTAAAAAAAAATTTAAAAATAATTAAAAGGTTTCTTTCGAAGAAACAAACAAGTTTTATTTATTTGTTATATATGTGTTTTGAGACTTTTTTATTAGAATTACATGGATAACGTTGAAGGTATATATACAAGTGCATTTTAAATTTTCCATGAAGTTTTTCACTTTTTTTACGTTTGAAATAATTTATCTTTTATAAACATATCTTCAGAAAAAAATACCACAATAATTGAAATTATAAAAGAATGGGATACCAACACATAGATAAATTTTTTAAAAGCACAGAAATATTTACAAATCGATGAAGATGATTTAAAATTGCTTCAAGATCAAAAAATAACTGGATATAATTTTTTTTTATTGAAAGAAAAACATCTTATAAAATGCGGTTTGAAAACTGGTCTGGTCCTCACATTGTGTAATTTAATACAGGAACTTAAAAATGGTCAATATTTTTTTTTTCATTATATATATACATATATATAATAAATTATTTTTATTTATTCATCATGTTTATTAATCATTTATGCTACATAATTATTCACAGGAAAATTTCTGCAAGATTAAAGACTAGTGCCGTAATCCAAAAAAGGAAAAAGTATGGTTGCAAAAGTGGTTGCAAAGGTAATTGCAACCACTTTTATATGCCATAAATACAATTACTACCATCATCATAATTTACAGCACTTGTCTTTATGCAAGATAACATTATTCCATAAATTAAAGAAATAAAAAAGTGGCCATATCCATTTGTTAGATATTTTACGAATTTTTCATTTGAAGAATGGTCATTAAACATTATGAAGAATGGGTTATTGTAAATCATGAAAATTCCAACAAGAATACATATAACCAACCATTTTTAAAGCCATTGAAAAAATTTTAATGATGATAAAACATTACCTGAAGTATGCAGAATTGTTTCGCACTTGAAAAAAAGGTAACAATGTTCAATTTTATATGATGAGAATTCTCCAGGTTGCTCCTGTTGAAATGATGATATTAGGGAAACAATATTGCAGAGGATGGTCTTGTTGATAGATAGGTTACCCCTTGCTGAGTTAATAACAGAAGGATTTGCTAGTATTTACAACAAGGGTGGGTTATGTACTCAAAAGTAGCTGAATTAGATGCTTGTCTCCTGGATACGTTCTGGTGGACATCATTTTACCATCCATTGCAAGATGTATTTTCTAGATGTTATTTAGGCATGCTTCCTGGATATGTTCTGGATGCACATTGACTAAATAGACATTCATTCCTATATCTGTAAAAAAAAACAGCTGATTCTGGGAGTACTTGGACATTCTCATCTTTGTTGAATATTTGTTTTCTTGTTTAATTATTAATATTTTCTCTATTATTATGTAGCCAAATGTTGACCAAGCTAAAAATAATTTTTTTGATGATCGCAGACAAACTTATGAAAGCTTAATAGATGGCAACATATCTATTCTAATCAACTTGTACCTGGTGTATATGAAATCAAAACCTTTGAGATCACTAAAAACTGCAAATGAAGCAGTATTACTAAGGTTGCTTGCTGAAACTCCTCTAGAAATCAATCAGCAGGGTTTTGGCAGGTTACACATTAATTGTTTATTAGAGTTTTGGCAGAGTTCCACATTTTGAA